TAGATGGCAAACCAATCCATTAGATTTTCTCTTGCAACTGGAAAAATTTCATGCTATACAAGCTATCCTAGTCTAGAAAATGCATTACAAATGTTCGATGTTCGGAGCTGACTCTGTGTGGTCACTATAACATGAAAACAAGGTATGAACTAGCCACATATGACCCACCTAAGGAGGTTGACACATAGCAAGATGTAGATGAAGATGATACTCAAACCAATAAAAACTGGCGGTCTCTGCGGAAATTGGAAGTGCCTTCAAAGGACCGCTATTTATTATGGCAAGTGATGAATGCCATCTTCCCAAGAACAAGAATGTTAAATAAAAAAATGGAGAATATAAGTGAGGGTTGCCTTTATTGTAGCCTCGAGACGACACAACTCTACCAGTTTCTAGCAGTGAAACAATCACGGTGATAATGAATGTATGGGTGACTAAGTAGATGGAATCCTAACTACAACGATGAACAAGTGAATTAGGACAAACACTCATTTCTAGGGATGTTTTGGAACGAAAGAAATAATCAGCAGTTTAATTAACTAAATTTGGAAGAAGAATAAGAGATACCCCTAAGAGGCCATACTACATGGCATAATATCTAGATTCGAGACTTGCAGAAGAGGGAGTGACAAGGTTTAAGGAGCCATCAGAGACCTCGACATTCCTAGACACCACCTCGACTAGACCGGCTGAAAGTATATATATATGCAGGATGCAATGGAACAAGAGGAATAAGTCTTGGAATGATTGCTCATGATTAGGAACTTCGTGTTTGCAATAGCAATGCATGAAGAGGAAAATTGAGCACCAAAAATTGCATAAGAAAAAGCAACGCTATTTACTATCAAATGCATGGAAGAAAGGCAAAAAGAGGGGCAGACATCAGCTAGAGCTAGCAATCCTCAATGGACGAGCTCTAGGAAAGGAAGAGAGACATAACTTCCGTTCTATTGATTCCTTCGACCATAATGCTAAGATTTCAATCAATGAAGTCACTAGTGTGCCCTAGAATAGCAAAGTATTGTAGTCGACTTAGCTATGACAATAGAGAGGTTGGATTTGGTTGTAGCCAGGGGCGGACCCAGGGGGTTTTAGGGAAAATGATTATCCAACCCCCGATGGTAATTTATGTATAAACAAAAAAAAAATATAATTGATAGCGAGGGATACCCCTGAAATTTGGAAAAATGAGTATCCTACTGTCATTTGTGTATAAAAATATAAATGGTAGGTTGGGTAATTCAAATCTAGAACACTATTATTAATAATAAACTTAATTTCCGTTGAGCTACAACTCATTTGTTGTTCGATTTTGAACAATGTGTAATAGTAAAAAGTCATTCCCTATCTCTAATTATTTCAATCTACACTAATTTCAATCTACCCTTAATTTGTATTGCTTTTATGATTGTACGGCAAGTGTTGAAGAGTCTTTCAACTTTGGGTTACATCAAGAACAAGTTTACAAATCGAATATGCGATAAGTTCCTGAATGATTGTCTAGTAGGGTATATGGGGAATTTTTTTTAACACTATAAACACCAAGTGTATTCTACAATTATTTTCGAATATGAAAACACATCATGAACTTTTTTAACCTGTACGAGTAATGTATTTTCATATTTACGATTTTATTTTTATTAATTATTTTTATTTATATTTAATTTATTTTTTAAAAGAGGACACCCCTATGGAAAATTTCTGGGTCCGCCACTGGTTGTAGCCAGTATGGAGATGAACGTGCTAGCAGTTTTTCGTGGTAGAAAAGACAAAGACTATCGCGGTGGCATTGGCATTGGCATTGGGTTGGCAACAAAAAGAGAAAGATACGGTGATGACGAGAAAATAATGAAGAGATTTTTATATGATTTGAAAATCTATAGACCAAAATGGGTACCCTCTAATTAGGCACAACATGATCCTACCTAATCTAGATGGGTTAGAAGATGCACTTCATGTTATTAGGGACTATCAATATGTCAAATCTAGATGGCTAATCATAGTTCCATCCCAACATCCATTATTTTCTTGTTGGGTCTCGAGGAATGGTTTCAAACAATTTTAGTTCAACAAGGAGATGCGACTATCCGGGGATTCACTTGCAATCATGGTCTCATGAGAAATTCTGGCCAGCGATAATTGGACATGTCTTAGAGATTAATGTCTCTACCCCATTTTCCAATTCTGCCGCTCCGAGAATTAGTCGAATCAGTTGGCAACCTCCTCTAGATGAGTGGGCTAAACTAAATTGACGAGAAAGTCAAAAAAAACCCTCTCTCATAAGCCATAGGGGGTCTGGCTCGAGATTTAGTTCAAACTTGGATTATTGGTTTCTCCACTCATGTAAGCATATGTGTTGTTTAAGAGGTGAAACTCAAAGCTATCCGAGATGGGCTTACACTATTGCGGGTGATGGTTATCATACAATGGTGGTACACTTGTACACACATAATGAAGTTCACCTCATTATCTCGTAGGAGAAGTTCCACCCTTTGAGAGCTCTATTGGTCGACTGTTGAACTTTGTTGAGACACTCTTGGGAAACGCAACTATCACACACTACATGACACTAATACAATCACAGATGCTATGACAAATATCGACCACAAATTTGGAAATGGAGCACATTTTTGGTTGTTACCTCCTTCATCGACTATGCCAATGTTTGAATTATATAGTTTCTATGCTATAGTCATTCCTTCTCTGTCTGGAGCTAGTTTCTTAGCTTTGGAGTTGTCTTATTTTAGACTTTAATTTCCGTTGTATAAAAAAGCAATATATTTATGAGGAACCAGTCACCGTCCAATAAAAAGGGAGAAATATTCTTATAAACCAATGTATTTTCTTAAAACATCCTCGATATTGAGCAGTCAAGGGCAACCTCATCATTCCAAGTTAAGGAAACAAAGATCAATAAAAAGGAAAATTCTACGGAGATAAAATGTATGAGAGGGCTATGCAATCGCTGACCATAAATTCAAGCAAAGCAATCAAAGGAATTTCCCCCCAATTTCTTATGTCCACCATCTCCTTTATCTACTTGTTCCTTATTGATCAATCAACACTAATTTGCCTCCACCACCCCTCCCCCAACCCAACACAAATTCCAAAACTAATCCAATTCCTAGGGCTGCAAATGAGCCAAGCCGCTCGCGAGCAACTCGGCATTCGAATCGGAAAAAACTCGTTCGACACTCGACTCGTTATTTAACAAGCCGGCTCGCGAGCCAACTCGTTAGTTAACGAGCCAAGCCTGAGCTAGACCATGCTCAGCTTGATAAGCTCGCGAGCTAGCTTGATTCGGTGGCTTGTCGAGCTAAGCTCGCGAGCTGCCTTGTTTTAAGCTTGTGGAAGGATGAATTACTCTTTTAAACATGAACATTGTCTTATAATACAGATGTGTATGAAATTTAGATGTTATTTCTAGTTTCTAGTATTCTTTCTATCATTTAAATTCTTATGTTTATACATTTTTCCAGCAAAAATGATTTTAAATCGAGCTCATCTTGAGCCGAGCTTGTACTCAGCTTAACAAGCTATGTTAATGAGCATTTATCGAGCTCTACCGAGTCGAGCTCGAGCTAGATTATTTTTATTCAAGCCGAGCTCGAGCTCGAGCTGGATTATCAAAATTCGAGTTCGAGCCGAGCTCGAGCTGAAAAATTAATAAACGAGCCGAGCTCAAGCTAAGCAAAAACTCGACTCGACTCGGCTCGTTTGCAGCCCTACCAATTCCACAATCTAGCGTTTTGGAATAATTGAAGTTTCTCTTTCTAGGCTCCTTTTTGCTCAGGTATTCACTAGTGCCCACTGTTGTTATTACACGAAAGTAAGTTAGTTGCAAAAACGAATGCATCTTAAATAAATTCCTCTCCTGTTATAATATATTCTCCCCAGCCTGATATGTTCGCTGTCATACACATCAACTAGCCCATAGGGTTTGTTTTCATGGGCCCTTCCGTACCCCAAAGCCACATGGCTCGTCCCCAAATCTCCCATTTGATGATAACCCAACCCTACACCCTAAAAAGGGCTCCAGTCAATCCTTCGATAGTTAGCTCGATTCCACCACCTCGGCCTAGGCCGTTTTGATTTGCTGTTGATTGCCCGCCCCCAAGACTCCGCCCCACGCCAAATCCTGGCCCAAGTCGGCTCGTCCCACTCATAAAGCCACTATTGTGTTGGATGCCTGACGGAATCTCTCTTTGCATTGTCGACTCCTTTCTCGTGCTCACCTGTGGGAAAAACCCATAAATACATTAATAATTAAAAAAAAATCTCAAAATACCAGAGTTATAACAAAATCCCCAAACTACCAAAGTTTGGATCGGTTCGAGTGAGTGTCACTTGGTCCACTAGTGGCATCGACTGCTAGCTCATCAATCCGAGTACATCGAGTTGAAGGGACTCGATTGGTGGCTAGGGACGACATAGATAAAGGGAGTTGTGCTCGATCTGTGACGCGTGGCATGCATCGACAACAATGGACTCGATGCGCTTTGATTGGCCAGTGGATGAAGACGCGGACCGATCTCTTCATCCTCGCTCAACCGTTGATCGAGTGTGTTGGACTCAATCTACACCGTTCGATTTGCTCCGCCTCGAACAACAGAATGACACAGATTGAGTGTCACTAACTTGATGCACCTAGATCAAGTGGTATTAACTTGAACCACTCCCTCCCCATAAACCTATAAATACACCTCCCATTCTTCATCCCAAAGTGGCTACTCATGTCCATCATGTTCAACCAATGGACAAGGTGCAATATGAGCCTCATATCCTGACCATGGATTATCATTTGGACCACCGAAATCTCCTGAACTGTAAACTCCACCCGAACCTTCACCATGTTCGGTATAACCCACACCACCATACTGGCCAACCTCTTCCGCCTCAGCATCATATTAATGTCATCATCTTCAGACAGAATTAAACCTTCATATACAAGTGGAGATCCTTCATATATAAGTCATATTGCATACTCTTTGACCCCTATGCAACACCGTTCCACACAAATGCGACAAAGATCCTGCCAAGTAAATATTCTCTCAATCAGAATAGTACTTGATTCTTCATCTTCGTAGTCAATATTATTATGAAAATCTGTAATTCGACCATTCCACTAAATCAGTAGGTTAAATTTTCGAAATTTCCTACTCATTTATGCAGTTTAAAGCAGCATAAATTACATATACTAAATATAGTCTACATGCATTAATCCAAAATTATAATGCTCTGCCAAAATATATGAGCTGCCAAAAAATAGAAATTATATTTTATTTTCGTAAACTGAAGAATAAAGATGTTGTAGTTCGAGTGTAAGGGACTCGACCTACTAGCACAAATAATCTTATCCCTACACCCCATTCTGAAGCATGTCGGGCAGAAAGCGCCAGAGTAGAATAATTGGAGGGTGGTTCAAGGAAGCGCCAGAGTAGAAAGCGGACTCGACCTACTAGCACCAATAATCTTATCCCTACACCCCATTCTGAAGCATGTCGGGCAGAAAGCGCCAGAGTAGAATAATTGGAGGGTGGTTCAAGGAAGCGCCAGAGTAGAAAGCGCCAGAGTAGAACTGCAGTTAGAGTCCTAGAAACTCTATGTATATGCTTTTAAACGAGTCCTACTCCCGCGATCAATGTGGATCGGGACCAAGAAGCTCGAACAAACTTCGGTCCGACATACAATGAGTTCTATGCCATCGATCCACCCTTGACCGAGTAAGAGCTGCTCGATCTAGGCTTGATCGAGTTTTACTCCCTCTATCCAGTTTAGCCATCCACTAGTTCGAGTCCAACAACGTTGAACCGCTTTGTGGTTAGAATGTCTCCAACTCGAACCACTTTAAACATTGGTATTTTGAGAATTTTATTGAAAGTTTATCAAATTCTTTTGGGCAAATACAATTTATTAGCCAAACCTTTCATTTTAAACAATATAATAGCCACAACTTTTTAAAAACAATTTATTAACCAAATCGTTAACTTTCCATCAGGTCAACCGTTAGTTGACTGTGACGTGGCAACTTGGTTGCTTAGTAGGAAAAAGTGGGTGACTTGGCAGCAAACACTAAATTAAATAAATAAATTTTATAAAATTAAAAGAAATTAGAGATCTTTTATCCACTTCTTCTTCCTTCCAATCCTAAAATTGCTCAAACTCCCCAATCGCCCAACCCTAATTTCATTTCCTCCTCTTTTGTTGCCGTTAGCTCGGCGACTCTCCCGCCGTCTTGGAGCTGCTAGATGAAAATGACAACGAGCGACCGTGAGAGGAGGTGGCAACGGGGGCAGAGCTTCCTCTGGCGGGTAGGGAGGAGGCAGAGAAGGAGGTCATGCAGCTCGAACTAGGCAAGCTTATCGAGGTTGGCCAGATGCCTCTTGTTGCAATCGGTGGTGACGAGGTTCTTTGAGATGCGATTATCCACTTCCAGAAAGGGAACTGCAGGCAGGAGCGGGAATCAATCGACGAGAATCAAGGGTATTTCAAGGTTTTCTCGAGAATCGCAGGCAAGCTGGCAACAACTCTCAAAGTACGATAACGATTATGACAAGATTTTCTTCAAAGTCGAGATCTAGGGTTTCTGGAAAAACTCTCATGGTTGGTTCTGATTTAAAATGGGTATTTTATCCCCTGCCTATTCCAGATGCAGTCTTTCAGGTGGAGAAATTGTCCCCCGCTTCCGTCCGGAAGCGCCGTGATCTTCACCACCACGAGGCTCATGTTCAGATGCTTGTCCCCTGTTCTTCTACCTCCTCCAGGGTGGATTCATGAATCGTGAGATTCGCTACCATGACGTCAGCTTGAAACCAGGAGAGAGCTCAAATAGCAGCTGAGTCGACGCGACGTGCTCTTGGTCGTACAGCTCCGCCACAGGCGCCAGATTCATCACCGGATTCACTGTCGATTTCAACGCCAAAAACAAGTAATCATCAGCCTCTGCTCTGAGTTCCCCTTCCCTCCACTCGACTCTACCCGAGATAGGATCTCCGTTGCCGAGTCGCTCTTCCCTTCGTCAACCGTCGCGACTTCGATCAACACCGAACTCGTGCAAATCGTCGGAGTCACGGCGGAGGTCGTCGTTGGCAGTGGTGGGACTAGAGGAAGAGAAGGGAGAGATGAGATTATGAATCGTCATCGGCCACTCCCTTGGCTGCCGACGCAGACTTGGTGCAGGACGACGATCTGAATTAGTTGAAGAAGAGGTTAGGGAAGGATGGTTCGATGAAGGGAGAGATGTGGGGATAACATGATGTAATTTTGTGGTTGTTGTGTGATGTATTTTTTTTTTTTGCTTTTCTGGTTAAAAAATAATTTTTTTAGTGGACTGTTTTGCCACATCATCATTTTCTAACCAACTCAGAAGCTAGTGTGCCACGTCAGAGTCAACTAACCGGATGGAAAGTTTACTGTTTGGATATTAAATTGTTTTCGAAAAAGGTTTGGTTGGCTATTATATTGTTTAAAACGAAAGGTTTGGTTATTAAATTGTGTTTACCCAATTTTTTAATTAACCTTGTATTTAGGGGAAAAAATCGGCCTTCCTCGATTGTGAGATTTGGCTCAAGATAGGGTGCATAACCCATGGTTATGCACCCATCAATAACCAAATCTGGACCCTTAATTTAGAAAATCCAGATCTAAGGATGGAGAATTAAAAATTATTTTTATTTTCCCTAGTTTTTTAATCGGCTCATATCTTTTTTCGTTTTAACTCAGATTTTAATTTTTTTTGCACAGATGGAAGAATTTCATCTTGCTCTACAAAATGAGATCAATTTTCAATATTTTCTGAGAAAAAAAAATGCTGGCCTCTCGGTACCAACTACATACCATATGGTATTTTCTTCGTTTTTAATTCGTGTTTGAAAACGTTTGCACAGAAGGGACGAGTTCATCATGATCTATTGGATTTACAAATTTCTTGGTGAACAAATTACATGACCAAAAAATACCACACAATACCATACAATACTATCTTGGTACGGGGTGGTATATTATGGTACACAATGATAAAAGTTGTAAATGACAGTTAATATACTTCTACTATCATGTATTTAACCATCCTACAGTCTTGGTTTGTTCATACCACCATGGTACGCTTTTCAAACCATAGGTATGTTCTTATTTCAATAACAGTCAATACCATATGGTATAGACTGGTAAAAAATGGCTCAATTTTTTTTGTTCGAAAAATATATCAAAGTGGATATTATTTTGAAGAGCACAATTAATCTGATCTAACTGTGCAAAAAAATTAAATTTCGACTTAAAACGAGTGAGAAATCGTCCGTCAAAAATTAAGAAGGGAAAAATTAAAGACTTTTCAGGAGAGAGAAATGCCAATGTCATGCTGATATGGGCTGGTTACTCATGGTTACTGACCTGATTCGTTCCCGTGAGATTTCCCCAAGCCGCTCTCGTGCCGTTACCGGCAAGGCTAGCGGCTAGCCTCAGCGAATCTCCCAAGCGCGCCTCCTTTCGTCGTGCATCTCCCGCCTGCTCAGCCCCCTTGACTACCAACTCCATTCCATTCCATCAGTCGTTTTTAATGTCAGACGTCAGCTCGAAGACGAACCAACTCCGTCTCATGCTCCTGGGCCTTGCGCTGTTGCTCGTCTAGCTTCGTCATCCTCTCCTGCTGTCGATCCCGAACCTCCAAGAGCTGCTGGCCAATTTCTTCGTCTATGGATTGGTGGCATCGGGCGGCAGGGTAGATGGCGGCGTTGTTCTTGGAAGCGGGCAACTAACCTCTTATATCAATTGACGCTTGCTCACTTTCACTAATTCTTGACAACATGTTTGGTGTAGATGCTGGAGTTGCTCTAAGCAAATCTGTTTTTGGCTCTTACCTGTGGATATGGCCGGCAATGACATTACTGCAAACTGTGCTTCTTCCTTGGCTGAGCAGTTTCTCACCTAGCCGACAATGCGCTGAAGGATGAGGGCGCTATCTTGATATCTAAGGCTATAGAGACTGGGCATGGCTAGTTGAACGAGGTTGATTTGAGCACAAATGCAACTAGAAGAGCTGGAGGAGGATCTTGGCACAAGCTGCGGGGAATAAGCCAGTTGCTCAATTTGAATGGCAATTTCTTATCCGATGAAAAGGGCTTTGATGAAGTGAAGAAAACATTCAAGAGCTTGCTGACGTGCTTGTCCTCTTGGATGAGAATGATCCTGAAAGTGAAGATATTGACGAGGATGATGAACTGGAGTTAAGACTCAAAGAGCTGGAGATCAAGGATGACTTATGATAATTGACTTTATTATCAGAAAAATTGTCTGGCCAGGTAATCTCTTCTCTAAAAGCTTCTTCGAAAAACCCCTTCTCCTTTTGTGTATGCTACTCCAACTGCATTAGCTCAATGTAGAAGCTTTCTTTAACTTCTACAGCTTAGGTCTCAATGGAAGCGTGTATGTATTGTATCCAGGAGCGGAAATCTGCACTTTTGAGCAGTCTAGCAGCCTGTATGCACCTTGGATTTTTTTTTTTTTTTTGTAGATTACAGTATTCATTAGGTAATGTTGCATTCTACCATGTTTCTCCAGCCAACATTTTGGCTCTGGACTTCACAAGGCTCTATGTACTCTGTGATGTGCCCTCAAATTTGAGGTTCTTAACAACTAGTAGCAAGGTAGTGCTTTTGTGTTCATATTTCCATTACAAACTAGGATTGTCCAATGCTTATTAGGTTTCTGTAATTACCGTCATATCCGTTGCTTGTGCAGATATAGACAGACATGATTCATGAATGTGCTAAAAATGTGTGTTTGGGCGGTGAATATCCTAGTTGATGGTTTTCCAATTTGATGAAATTTTGACAAGTGGATGGATTTATGAATAAGACGGATCTAGGAGAAACCCATTTGTTTGGTGGAAATGTGGATTTGTCCTGTGGTTCCCCGGGAAAGTATCAGAGTTCAAAAGGAAGTTACTTTTCATATTTTTTCCCCCCAGGATTCTCCTAGCCAAATCACGCCTTGTTCAGATAAGGAGGCAAAATGATGCCATACAAAACTCAGGGTAGAAGATAGAGAATGTATATATAGGTAAAATGCTGAAAGTCGCAGCTTGTAGGCAGTTGGCTCTTCTACACAGCTGCAGGAACTTTGAGGGCTTCCAGGATCTTATCATCCAACTCAAAAGCCATGGTCTTCTTGTCTCTACCAATCTTCACATACTCCTCGAACCGCTCTTTCAGATCCTCAGGCAAGTTTGTGGTTCCCTGCCATCCCAAAATTTCCTTTGCTGCTCGTGGCTCAGCATAGAAGTGCTGCAACAACAACAACAACATATACATTAAATATCCACATTTCGCTGGCGTGCTCGTAGGAGAGAAACGAGGTTTCGTTGTTGCGCGATCACTTCTTTTTGTACCATGTTTCTGAAGGGGAAAGCTTTCTTGGCGTCGACCCCGATAGCTTTGGGATCATAATGGACGATCTCAACCGGGAGCCCAGCAGCTTTCGCGCAGAGCTTGGCCATTCCATCCAGAGTCACTGCTCTCTCGCTCACACTGTTGAATATGTTCCCACTCGCTGCTTCCGGCTTCTCCACAGCCAGCGTGAGCATCGACGACAGATCCTTGGCGTGCGAAATGTTGGTCAGTTGCATCCCTGATCCCGGGATTGGAACCGGCCTGTTCCGTACAATTCCTGTGAGAGTATGAAGGTCAAGTGAGTTCCTCTTTATCTTTTCATTACGTGCAGCGTTATGATGTTATTTACTTACGGTCGAAGAACCATTCCTCGCAGTCTTTGTTGTTGCCAGAGCCGATCATATACTGCGGCCGGAAGGAAGCCCAGTTGCTGAATGTCTCGGCCATGTACTTCTCCACTCCAACGTGGCCAGCACTGCCTTTCACGGCATCCTGTGTCGTATGTATCACCATTTTAGTCTTCCAGTTACAGATAGAACAGTGACAAGAAAGAAGGAAAGGCTCTTACGCCTTCAACATGGGGAGGCTCCTCGGTCGGCAGGTAAATTCCGGCACTACTGATGAACAGAAACTGCTTCGCTCCCGTCTCTTTTGCCCAGTCTGCTACCGGCCTACATTTCATTCTTGTATGTTAGAATCCCCCAACTATGGAAAAGGGTACCACAGAATTTCAATTCGAAAGCAGAATGTGTCAAACCTGACAGCATCGAGGTCCTTGCCATTGTTGTCGAGCACAACATCGAACGTCTCGCCGGCGAGGACTTTCCCGATTTCCGGCGGGTCTCCCCATACGGTGCGACCTCCAGCGCTCACAATTTCCTACCGATGAAAGAGGGGGGTGGAACAGAGGCAGGGGATGTAAAATTCAGAAGAAATCAAAGAGCAGATAAATCGAAACGACACGAATTTTTAGTTTCTCTATAGTTACACTGAATCTGTTGAAGGGAGGCTTCTTCATCTTATCGGAGCCTTCCTCTCCGACGGTGAGGATGGTGACATTATGGCCGGAACCCAGAAGCTCCTTGGCGAAGTAGAACCCAATAATTGAATGGCCGCCGCTGTTGGTGTTGACTATGAGGACCTTCTTCTTCTCTCCAGAGGCGGTGGCAGCCCTGACGGAGAAGGAAACGGCGGCGGTGGCGGAGAGGCGAGGGGAAGGGAATGTGAAGAGGGCAGGAGAAACTGAATAAGAAGAAGAGAGAGCAGAGTGGGAAAAACAGAGGCGTTGAGAAGGTGAGAAAGATGGAAGGGAGGGGTAGTTTGAAGAGGAGAAGAGAACGGAGGAAGCTGATGTTAAGGGGGAAGAAAGAGAAGCCGCCATTGTTATGCTCTGGTTATGTTGCTTTTTCTTTCTTCGTCCTTGATCGGCTTAGAGGCAGAGCACTTGTAAGGCTCTGGCAAGTGGCTGTGGATAATACAAATTGGATTGGCCTTGTTTATTTGATCCACAATCATCCATCCATCTCCCGGGTGAATTGAAAGATAAAAGCCAACGAGTGTGTTATTTTATCCTGTTTCTAAAAAATTTTCTTCAAATTTAAGTTTTTAGTCAAAACAAACAAGTGAATTAGGTTGGTGGAAAACCATGAAGTGAGATTATTTGTAAAATATGTTTGGGAGGAAAAATTAGTAGGATCTCCGATATATAAATTAATGATTAGATTCAAAATCTATGACGTCTCTTATACTAGCTTAGTATTCGGTCCGTAGGTCGGACTGTTCATATTTGAGTATTCATATTTTTATGCTACGTTTAAGTCTATCAACTCATTTAATTTTATTGACAATCCTTCGATCGAAATGATACATAAAAAAACATTCGGAGAAATACCATCATCATTTAAGAATATAAAATATATAAATATATCATTAATTCCATTTTCATAATGATAATTAAGCCCCCGTTAAAATATTATTGGTTAGTTGATTGTCAAGGAAGATAGACTATAATGCTCACTAGAATTCCCACGTGACTCATAGATAGTTTGAAACTGAATCTGAAACCTCACAATCCTACATAAAAGAGTTCAATGCTCTCCTTTTAAGAATAATATGTCATTAATCAAAAAGAAGCAGACAGTTGTTGATTCAAATCAACTATATACTAACTAACAACTCAACTAAGAGGTGGTCGTCAAAACTTGATAGCAAATGACAATATTAGGGTTACCTCCAATATACTAATAGACTCGATCAAAGTAATAAGGAACAAAAGTAGATGCTCCTTATCTATTAGTTCCAGTAGCTTGAATAAAGAATTGACCTACTTCAGTAAATCAATCAATGATTCCTCGTTTTAAGATATAAATAGGTTGTGTAGCTACAAAACCCATGAACCTAAAGATCCAATAGCCACCACTCTCCATTGTTCAACCAAATTTTTATCCACTCTATCTTCTATCTCAAGAGGCATATATTACCACAAAAAATTCACTTTCTAATCCCCTTTTGCAGCTTTGATGGACCTGCTCTCTGTGGCCCTCAATTTCTCTTCCAGTTGGGGTTCTTGTAAACTCGCTCTTCAACTCTTGAATCCTCTTCTTGTGTTTTGCCAACCCATCTTCCTCAAAGAAAGTTGTAATAAGCTCGCTAAAACCAACACTCATCTCCAATTCCATCAATATGTTCATCTCCCCCTTGTCTGCCTTCACTTGCTTCAATCCACTTCCATGCCCTTAAATACCCTCTTCATTTTCATTAATAGCCTCGTCATCTCTCACATCTCTCTCTCTCTCTCTTCAAATGTTCAAGTTCCGCTTCCATGTCTTTTAATACACTCGTCAATTCGATCATTACCCTTAACAACTCCCACTTCCCTGCCTTCACCTATTGCAGTTGAACTTTACATGCTTCCAAATCCAATCACCCCAAACCCAATATCAACTCTTCTACTCCAAGTTCAATACCCCCAACTCTTAGAGTGTTGCATGGAACCTTAATTTTAGCAATCGCTATGGCTTGCAATTAGATTAATAGACACTAAAAACATCTGCAAAATCAACATTGTCTAACTAATTCTAAAACAATACCAAAATTTGATCGGTGAGCTAGACCATAAAAATCGAAATTCATGAGGAAAAATATGGTTGCGAAGAACATTAGCTATGACAAAATCAAACATGAGCGGATATATTGTAATTGAAAACAAACCTTTTTTCTGATTGTCTTATTTTATTATTTCAATAGCTAAGCATAGAACAAAAATAAATTATAGGAAACAACCAACTAAGAAAATAGAAAGGGCGCTAGAAAAGTACAACTTCCTCTGTTTTACACAAACGTCTCCTTTGGTTTCAAACAAATCTAGCACCTAAACAACCGTTCAAATTCTTTTCCTATATTTTATAAATCAATCACAAACAAAAAATTAAGATAAATTGGGAAGGAAATAATAGCCTACCAGTTCAATTCGATAAACCTGCAAGATTCAGGGGGAGGCAGCGATCAATCCATACAAGACTTTGTGACCTCATCATCCAGCGTCCCTCAGGGCCGCTGATCTCGCCAGTTGTGAACCTCATCAATCGGCATCCTCGCGATTTGCCGACCTCATCTTTGAAAATGGAGGAAAAGGAGGTCGACGTAGTGCCCGACCGTGACCTGTGCAACATCGGGGAGATTGAGCAGTTCTTATTGCTCCCATGGACCTGGGCGACGTAAAGGAGAGAGTTTGACAACGAGATTGTGCGACATTGGAGAGGTTGACGCAGGTTGGATCGGGTTCTACGGGTTGTCTAATCCAAAATCCAAACCCAACCCAAAAGTGGCGGGTTGTACAAAAGAAAACCCTCACCCAACCCAAAATCTTCGTTTTAACGATAAATACGGGTGGGTTGGATCGGGTTGGACGGATGAGTCGGTTTACCGGTGTGTTTGTTCATCCCTTGGTGAAGGATACGCTTGGAATAAATAAATAAAAATGAAAATTTTCAAAATAGCCGACCCCATCAGCTATTTCACAATCACATATGTAAATTTTTTTAAATCCTTAATAGCCACAATTCCTATTCTTACCAAAGGTGTTATTTGATTAAAATCTCCCATCGAGATTGTTTTAAAATCCTATACCACAATCCTACGTCCAAACGACCCCTTAGTAATTCGCTTATTCCTGATTTGTTAACGGATAAGATGACGGCGGCACATTACATGAGCGGGCAAAAATCACATTGCCGAGGTTGGGCGGAGATAAGGCTCTTTCTTGGCTACCCGCTCTTCTTCCTTCTCTCAAACTCACTCACAACGCTGCATCCTTCCCTCCAAAAACCAACAATCGGACGACTCCTCCACCGCCGCCGGTCAATTCGATTCGATGATACCTCTTCTCTCCCTCCACCCTCCGCCGGCTCCTTCGATCTTCCTATTCTCTCCGTCCCCATCATCCTTCTTCCCTCCTCCCCCTCGCTTCAAGTCCTCCCCTCCCCTTCTCCACCACTTCGCCGTCCACTCCACACCGACCATCTCCTCCGCTCAGTACTCAGCCGACCAGCCCGCGCAGCCGAGGACGCTTTTTCCCGGCGGCTACAAGCGTCCCGAAATCAAGGTCCCGAACATCGTGCTCCAGCTCCGGCCTGAGGAGGTTTTGAGCGGCGGAGACGATGCGCTGGATCTGATTGACAGGGCGGTGTCGCGCTGGGTGGGGATCGTCGTGCTCGACGGCGAAGGGAGCGGGAAGGCGCTCTACGAGGCGGCGTGTCTGTTGAAATCAGTCGTCAGGGATCGTGCCTACTTGTTGATTGCCGAGCGAGTTGACATTGCTTCCGCTGTTAATGCTAGCGGCGTCGTCGTCTCCGATCAAGGTTTGGTCTCTTGGCGATCTCTTCATTTCATTCTCTTCCCCTCACGTTGAGTGAGGATTTAGAGAGGTTTAACTTTTCGAGTATTATGGAGGTTGCTTCAATTCCAATTCGCGATGAATGGTGTCTCTTATTCAGGTCTCCCGGCAATTGTTGCAAGAAGCATGATGATAGATTCCAAGTCCGAATCAGTACTTCTCCCCCTGGTTGCGAAGATTGTTCAAACTCCAAAGTCTGCTGTTGAAGCAGCCAGTTCCGAAGGGGCTGATTTCCTCATTTTGTCACCTAGTAATGAGGAGACTTTCGATCCACAATTCAACTCCGGGTTCCAGAGCGTGAAGATTCCCATCTTTGTCGGTTATGGGAAGGCCGGCTCACAATTCGTCAACTCTGTTCCCAGTGGTTATGTTATGTCATTGGAAGATTTGAGGCTGGTCAGTGATGATTCTTTGAGCCAGTTGTTTCAACCTGAGCAGAAAGCTCAGAGTGAATTCGAACAGCCCAGTAGACGAGATACGAGGTTGGGTGATGTTAATGGGAAAGATACTGTGGCAGGGTTCGTTAGACTGGAGGATAAAGAAAAACAGCTCATAGCAAAAGAGAAATCTTTGTTGCTTGAAGCTATCGACATAATCAAGAAAGCTGTCCCTATGGTAAGCTTCTGTCAGAGAATTATTGCTTAGTTTGGTTTATCTGGGTAATCTATGCTTTCATCACTGTTGTCCTTGGTTTTGATGCTTGAATCAGGGTGTTGGTTTTGAATGACAGATGGAGGAAATCTCGCTTCTGGCTGATGCAGTTTCTCAAATTGATGAGCCATTTTTACTGGCTATAGTGGTAATTGTGTGCTGAACTCCAACAAACTCTGGTTCCAGGGATATGCATTGGTATTAGCTCTAAATTTCAAATGAACCCTTTTTATTTGCGTGATAAGAGTAAGATTAGAGGGCGCTTTCATGCTTCTGGCTCTGGTTTCACACTTTCATTTCCCCTTTCATTTTGAACAACTTCTGGGTGACCAATGAAAATTATGGCAAATTTCAAATGAACCCCTTTTATTTGCGTGATAAGAGTAAGATTAGAGGGCGCTTTCATGCTTCCGGCTCTGGTTTCACACTTTCATTTCCCCTTTCATTTTGAACAACTTCTGGGTGACCAATGAAAATTATGGCAAAGGCATTTCTAATTTTATCTTTCCAATTCAATTGGTTCTTTTTCACTCTTATCCTTACACGGCACCCTAATGTGAAGTCTTCAACCACAATGGTTTCACATTCAATTTGGTCTCCTTTCTGAAAATTTTGGGATACTTTATTGGCCTCTGGTGACAATTCGTCATGTCTTTAAGTTTAGTGTTGGAGTCTCACACTAACCATAATGCTATTAGTTTAACTTTACCATTTTATGATGAAATCGACAATCATTTTTCTGGCTCATGCTATCATATCTTGTTTTGGTTCCATATCTTATGTTCCTTATGCAGAGAAGTTCATCTGCAGAAAATATCTAATATTGAATATTATGCATTTTAGATATACTTGTTGGGATTAGTGCCCTTACCCTTAGAAATTCCGCTGAGGCTTTTCGTCTCTCACTATTCTTTATCATACTTGGTCTGAGCAGGGTGAATTTAACTCTGGTAAATCAAGTGTGATTAATGCTCTCCTTGGGGAAAGATACCTCAGAGAAGGCGTTGTCCCTACAACCAATGAGATTACATTCTTGCGCTATTCTGCGGATGATGCTCCAGAGCAACAGCGATGTGAACGACATCCAGATGGCCAATTTGTTTGCTATCTTCCAGCTCCAATTCTTAGAGAAGTGAGTTCATTCTTATTTAACTAGTAGACTCCTGGATGTAGCAAGGATCATTCAGTTCCTCTGGATTGTTGATTTACATGTTTGTTCTTGTATCAGTGTATTCTATATTGATCTTGTTCTTTTATGTATCAGTGTTAGTTAGGGTAACATGCATTTGAAATTATCGTCTGTATACAACCCATTTTTATAGTTCTTCATTTACTTTATGATCCTTGTTAGGATAAATTGTTTATGCAGCTTAATTCTTACAACAACTTGTTAGAGTATGATTTTTTGGACTTTTGCATATAGTATATGGATGGGCAACTGATTTATATTGAATCACTTCGATTCAGTCAGTGTGATGGTAAGGACTTCCAGTCTGAAGTATAGATAGTGTTGATTAAGAAACAGGTTGAATTTTCCCCCCTAGTTGTTCTCAGTTAGAAAGTTGTTAGTATAGATGAGTGCAGTTCAGATTGCTTTTAAATGAAAGATAAGTGAACTCGGTTCTTTCTATTTGCTAAACGAGTCAGATATGCCTTGTCAGGGAAACATGACCTCGTGATGATGACTAATATGGCTCAACATTTTTAAACAGATGAATATTGTTGACACCCCAGGAACCAATGTTATTCTCCAACGACAACAACGCCTCACAGAGGAATTTGTACCTCGGGCGGATTTGCTTCTTTTTGTAATTTCTGCTGACCGGCCATTAACTGAAAGTGAGGTAAGTATGTCATATCTGTTTGCTTATAACACAGATTGGTGATGGATTCTAAATGTTTGAAATTTGAATAGACAAGCTACGGCTTGTAGTTCTGATGCAACTTACACTTTCCTGATGAATCCTGCAAAAGATTATTGCTAGAATGTGATTAGGGCTCATCTGAAGTCAAGCTTTTAGCGTGAGTTGGTTTTCATTGCATGTCGGACTGGATCTCGCACCACATATATGATGATACCTTGTATTTTGGTTTTGAATTATATCAATATAAGGGTACATTATTGGTTTTGCACACGGCTACAAATGAGCCAAGCTGTTCAATAGCGGCTCGGCGTTCGATTCGGGAAAAACTCGTTTGAAACTCAACTCATTAATGTCGAGATTGAGCTAAATCATATTAAGCGAGCAAACTCGACTCAGTGGCTCGTTGAGTTCAACTCGTGAGCTGACTCGTCATGTGGCCAGCAAGCATGCTCGACTAGCTGCTTATTAGCAAATCGATATATAGCTTATGAGTTGGCTTGTTAATAATTATAAGTTTGTTAGATTATAATATATGAACTATTTAAAATTTATGAGCTAGTTATGATACCAACATAGTATATGACTTGGAAACAATTAGTGATGAATTTTTTTTACTATTATTTGTGTTTTTTCATCATGACATAAATTTTAGGGTATTTAATTTATAACCTATTTAGAGTTTAGTTTTGGGGTTCAACCATTTAGATTCTTAAATTAGCTGAGCTCAAGTCAAACTTGTGAGCTAATTGATGAAGCAAACAAGAGGCTTGTCCTTGCACGCAAGTTTTCTCACTGATGGGGGATATTTTGCAGGTAACTTTTCTACGTTATACCCAGCAGTGGAGAAAGAAGATAGTGTTTGTGTTAAACAAGTCTGATCTATACCGGAATGACAGTGAGGTACTCGGTATTACTTTCATATGTTGTTCATGCTGTTAATTTGGAAGTACCTTATTTTCTGTTCGACTTTTTCTGGAATTGGAATGGTGTTAAAATTTCATCATGACTTTTGTGCAGCTTGAAGAGGCTTTGTCATTCATCAAGGAGAATACAAGGAAGCTGTTGAATTCAGAAAGTGTGACTGTCTACCCTGTCTCTGCTCGGTTTGCACTTGAAGCAAAATTGGCATCTTCAGATCTCCACAGTGCCCACACAGGTTCTCACTGGAGAATCGAAAAGTTCTATGAGCTTGAGAAGTTCTTGTATAGCTTTTTAGATGGCACGACAAGGACTGGAATCGAAAGAATGAGGCTCAAACTCGAAACTCCAATACGAATTGCTGAGCGTTTGCTCTCCAGTTGTGATTCTCTTATAAAACAAGACTGCAGATTTGCCAAGCAGGATGTAGCATATGCAGCTGAACTAGTCGACAGTCTGGAAGATTACACAGCAAGGGTTGAAAATGAGAGCCTCTCTTGGAGAAGAAAAGCTCTGTCTTTGGTATAGTCTTAAAGAAGAAATCTCCTCATGTGTGCTCAGTGCACACACAAATTTGGGAATATTTTTGGCTTGTGTTTCTGATATTGGTGAATGAATTTTCAGATTGAAGCAACAAAAATCCGTGTTGTGGATCTGATAGACTCAACACTGCAGTTATCAAATCTTGATCTGGTTGCCTCATATGTATTCAAGGAGAAGTCTGTGACGCCATCCACTTTGAAGATTCAAAATGAGATACTATCTCCAGCACTTTCGGATGCTCAAGTAAGTTCCAGCTGTGGCTTAAAAGTGACCTTTTCTTTTCTTTTACCGCTTTCCTTCGTTTTTTAACTTTGCAAGATGCTAAACAAATTTGGTTAACTATGCGTTGGGGTCTTGGATTTGAATGACTGTTGCTCGTATCTTCCATGCAGAAACTTCTTGAAGAATATCTGACATGGTTAAATTCAAACAATTCCCGTGAAGCAAAACTGTATAGAGAATCTTTTGATAACAGGTGGCCGTTGATTATTGACCGGAACACTGAGATGCAGTTGGATGCCTTGGAGTCGCTGAAGAAAGTCGACAACTCCAGCTTGAAAGTACTAGAAGACGTGACTGTTGTTCAAGCTTCCAAGTTATTCAAACAAGAAATACGCGAATCGGTTGGTTATTATTAATTCTTGGCATGCAATTAGCTATATCATCCATGACAAGTTAATCCTTCAATTCTTGAGGAATGTTTTATGTTGAATCTCAGTTCTTGGGCACGTTTGGTGGTATTGGAGCTGCTGGCTTGCTGGCCTCTCTTTTGACATCAGTGCTACCCACTACTTTGGAAGATCTTCTTGCTCTTGGCTTTTGTTCTGCAGGAGGGTAATTTATCTCTGTACTCTGTAGCGCGTCCTCGATTTCTTACCACGTTAAGTTGTTTGAATAATTATCCTTGGTTTTTGTGATAGATACATTGCGATTCTGAACTTTCCTGCGCGAAGAAGGGCGATGATTGATAAGGTGAACAAGATTGCGGATGGCTTAGCACTTGAAGTAGAAGAAGCAATGCAGAAGGATCTGTCAAAAACTGTGAAAAGTCTAGAGAATTTTGTGAAGACCATAGGCAAGCCTTACCAAGATGCAGCACAAGAAAGGCTAGACAAGGTTCTAGCGTTGCAAAGTGAAATATCCAGTGTAGAGAACAAGATGAGAACATTGCAAGTAGAGATCCAAAATCTTCATGTATTGTGAGGTTGGCCGGACCAGATTGGTTTTGCAGACATCATCTGGGGCCAAATCCTCTCTTTCGATACGACATTCAAGATCCGACTCTTGATGTTCATGAATGGATTAAGCAGGTACGTAAATATGTATAAGAGCGTTGCATTCTTTTGGTATAGGAATTGCCAACCTAAACGTGTCAACGTAAACGTGGTCCAAATATATTTATACCACCACTCCCGGGCGCATTTGGGCGGGCCTATCTTTTGCTACTCAAGTCAAAATCTATTGTGGTCTATTAAGTCAATGGAGCTTAGTCCTTGATTAGATGATGTCATAATGGGATTGAAATGCCTAGACATTCTACTAATCTGCTTTGTAACATACTTTTTCGAGACGAAGGTGGGACCCGGCTTGCAAGATCTCGAAAAGTTATTTGGATTCAAAAAATAAATCGCTACGATTGGATACCCGAGTTCAAAATTACGTTCGTTTGAAGTTTCGTCCGAAGTTAGGAGTTGATCGAAAAACCGCCCAGCGGTTTTATAGGTTTTTATAACCGCCCCTTAACCCAGCGGTTTGCATAGAAAACCGCGCCCCCGCCCAGCAGTTTTCGTGTAAACCGCAGGGTGGGGTGGCGGTTTTTGAAAAAGGGTGGTATTTTTGGAATTTTTTGAGGTTGGATGGTATTTTTGGAATTCTGTTTTTTAAACGGTGGTATTTCTGGAAAAAGTCCTATATCCACCCAAACAATTAATTTATCAAACCACTTTTATTGATCTGGTGTGGAAATGTAGATTTAAGTGATGCTTCAGGCTCCATTAGTCTGCGTAGAAATGAAACTTTTGTCCCAAAAAGATCTCAACATCTATAATACAGTAAAGATGACAAACATTTGGTGCCTCAACGGTACCTGGGGTGAAATCCGGGATATCACATACCTTGAGTACGAAAACACTATCTAAACCTCGTATTAGCAGGATTTTTGGGCATGATACTATACCCTAACCCTTAATGAGTGAACCCTAGGTCCTAATTATATAAATCATAGACTGTAAACCCTAAGATGATGCATTATTTTTTGCCTATATTTGGACGAATCATAAGCGTCGATTATTGTTTCTAATTAAATAAATTGATATTGGGGTATAAGATTTAGAGAATTAAGACCTAGATTTTGATCTTTAAGGGTAAGAGTATAGTATCATGTCCGAAACATCGGTCAATTCAAGTTCTCAATAACGTTTTCTTACTCAAGGTATGCGGTACCCCAGATTTCACCCTGGGTACCGTAAAACTCCCCCAAACATCTCCATTTAGTAAATGACCATGCCTTGGCGGGTGCCAACTCCTACTCATGTATGCAATGAGATAGCATAGCACCACATCAATGCCTCGTCTAGATACATACGACTCAATGGTTAAAAGCAAGGAGAAAGCATGCATAACAAGTTTTGGAGTCATCGTCATGGCGATTTTTGGGATTGTAATGTCGCCTTTACTGCGGGATGATAACAGACAAAATGGTGTTATTTATAATCCATATTTAGGATCATTTCGAGTCATTTCATGGTTTTTATGGTTAATATATCGTCAAATTTCCCCATTATTTGTTCCTCGGAGAAAATATTAGCGTTTAGGGTGTATTAGACGTGGATTGCAGGCGGGAAACTAGTGCTCAAACAATGAAACCGACCATCAAGTTCGCCATATGGGACCTTGATAGGGAAGACAATGTTCATTTAGCTCTCAGTCATGAGAGAGATGCCTACTTGCAATTTCAAATGGTTGCCGCCAAGTGCGGAAAAGTTTTAAAAAGTGATACAAAAAACAATAACTCCTACCTTGAAAAAAGAAGAATAAAGAGCACCTTTTAGAGTCCATTGGTTTTCACTGTTTTCAAAAGTACCTCGGTGCAAATCTTGAATGTCTTGACCTACTTAGTCAACATGGTCCTCATTCGCGAGTTTGTGTGTTTCACAGTGAGATGGGAGCAACGTTCACTCAACCTGACTATTCTAACTAGTACAATGAAGAACTATAACTCATACCCATGCTGATTGTTTATCAAGTTATACTTGTTTGAGTAGGTTTGCTTGGGGATAAGAAAACACCTAAATGTGGGGGAGTTGATAACACCGAAAATTATGTAATTTAGATCCCAAGTTTAGGATCATTTCGAGTCATTACAGGGTCTTCATGGTTACTAATCGTCAAATTAATCCATTATTCGCTACTCGGAGAAAATGCTAGCATTTTAGGGTGTATTAGAAGATATGAATGTTTTATGTACCAAAAGGGGGCACAAGTGTAGAGAAATGTGCAAAAACTGAGGATCACGGCCAGAGCATACAAGATCACGGGAATAGAGTACGCAAAGTTGGATAGCGAGATTGCAGCCTCCAAAGCTAAGATCACGTTCGCGGAGAAGGAGGCCTCAAGCACGAACTCTTGGAGCAGCCAACAAGGAAGAAACATATATTTTTGATAGTCGATTCACGACTTTGTGCATCAGAGCCAGCGAGAGATTGCGACCGTGAAGTCTGGCTGCGAACTTCCTAGCCATCGAAGCGCAAAACGGCAAGGCTGAAGATCATGGCCTCCCCTTCCCATATTGCGCCCGCGATCTTTCCCAGTTCGATTGTGAACTTGGCAGAGATCCTAAAATCTATAAATAGGGGGTTCCTCCCCCTCATTTAGGATGCGGAAATCAATTGAGAAATTTCTAGTTTGAGAGAGAGAAAGTATAGAGAGAGTTAAAGGAAGGAAAATAAGAGAAGAAGGTGAAGAAGGAGGAGTCAAGGAGGAAGGGAGCTCTACCCAATTCAATTCTTCTTCTATTTCTCTACATGTATCTTCTTCCCTACTTTATTGACTAGTCCTCTAAGGTACTAAGAGTTAAAACACCCAAATCCTATAATTAAGTTTTTAATGTAGATATAATTGTGTTAGGGTTTGTGTATGGATTTGTTTGTTTCAGTGATTATATGCTTCATTTATGCTTGATTATGTTGTGGCTTGTCTCTCAAACTCTTCCCTACTAGCCTACAACTGAGTCTCAGAACTAGGTGAGAATTTTAGGATTAGACTTGATTTGAGCACCTTAAGGCTAATTGAATGATCTTAGGGTTCCTTTTAGTATACGAGGCGACCGAACCCTTGCTGGAGTAATGCCTTCCTGAGACAATGCTAGAGATGATGCAAGCATCATCGATCCATCGCTTTACTGTGCATGATAGGTTGAACCTATTGAGAGGAACTAGTAATCATTCCTTCGTACGTGAGCTTTGATTGAGGTGACAATGGGTCTCTGGGAGCGTACTAGGTGGAGGCGGAGTAATCATTGAAACCCTCACTTTAGCAAGTTTAGCACCTTATCTTGCAAACCTAACATAGTTAGCCATTTGCATGACAAGCCTAGGTTTAGGGCAAGGGAGTTACCTTGAAGTACCTGCTTTGTATCCTTGCTTTCTCCGCCAGTATTTTCTATTGACCTCCAAAACCCCAACTAAACAGATTGGCCAGATAACAACAACGTGACAAGTAGCCTAGGGTATCGAAACTCGTGGAATACGACCTTGGTCACTACTATATTAGCAATGCCATTTCGAGTTATACTTGGCTGAGAATGGGGTAGTTAGTTATTTCGTGCAAACAATTGACATGACCCGCACGAGATTTGACCACGAGGACCACAACACCCTCACTTCTCCAAAAAATTAATCAGGGTATAGGCTATGTAGTTGTAGTATCCAACAAACTTCCACTAATACCAGTCAATCCCATGAGCCCTTTCAACTTGGTGGTATTGGTAGGAAAAGATCAATCCACCTTCATTTCCTTTTAAGATGTGTCCTAGAGTCCTACACCCCCTAATGCACAGTTGGAGGCATTAATGCACCCCGAAAACCTTAAACAGATGGCGAAGTGTTGCTCCCAACTTGAACTATAGACCAATGTATCATTAAAAAACACTGGAACAAATTTTTCTCAAAAGAGGGCGGAAAATAGAGACGGGTTAGCATGCTAACCCCTTAAGGGGTTGGTTTTTTGACACCCCCTTTTAATTGGTCAATTTTTCATTAATTATTGACAAGTATTAATGAAAGTAAACATAATAAATGTTCTGTTATTAAATACAAAGTAAGCATTAAATACACCACATTAATTACTTGTTTTTTAAAAAAATCTAAACATATACAAAATACAATTCTCTCTCTCTCATCTTTGATCTTTCTCACTCCTATCTCTGATTCTTCCTTTCCGAGCAGCCTCCGACCACCAAGTTTCCTCCGACCACCACACTTCGCCGGTAAAATCCGCCGACAAACTCGCTCCAGTCACATGAAAAAATATATCACTGCACTGATATGTTGTACCACTTTACTGGTATTTGTACCACTGCACTGATACTCAAATATGACATTGCTACCAGTGCACTGATATCGCTACCAGTGCAGTGGTATATCTACCAGTACAGTGGTACAACGTATCAGTGTAGTGGTATATTTTTTGGAGGTGGTCGGAGGGAGTCTGCCGATGGGATTTTCACCGGAGAAGAATGGCGGTCGGAGGAAGTCTGGTGGTCGGAGACTGCTGAAAAAGGAAAAATCAAATATAGTGAGAGAAAATGTATTTAGTGTAGGTTTTAATTTGAAAAAAAAAACAAATAATTAATATGGTGCATTTAATTCCTAATGTGTATTTAATGTGTGTATTAAATTCTATAGTTGTATTTAATATACTAGGGGGTGTCATTTTTCCAACCCCTACGGGGTTAGCATGCTAACCCACCCCCGGAAAATATAGTTCATGACTACCTGACATGTGGATGGGGCCTTGTTATTCATAATGACCATTGTAAGTTCAGAAGGCTGCCAATAAGATTGTACAAACATAATTGCAACACGACCCACCAGTGCCACTCAACCTAGCTCAACAGCAAATTCTTGATTTTATGAAGAAAATGGGTTGATGTGGGTGTTAAGATTTGGACCCAATGTTTCTTGGTTAGTAACGAGTGGGGGTCTTGTAATCCGAATTAACCCATACTCTTGAAATTATGTGTTTATCATAGTTTAATGTTGTATTTTATCTCTTATATTGGATGGTCTGCTTTTCGTTGCAACCTTTGGTTGTGAATGTTTTGTGCTAAATTATATGTTTTGTCACTTGCTTTATAATAAAAGTTTCACATTTACCACTGAAATCTTCTTCATTGCTTGCTATCCAACACTCATTTCATTATTGATCCAGTTTTGTTAACTTTGTCCTTTGTGGAAGTAAACTCTCTTCTTTGATCATTAAATAAGTAATGTATCAATTAAAAGGTATAAAAAATATTATTTGATTCTTTTTAATTATCCACCTCACCATCATAATTATAAAAATTAGTAAGATAAATTAATCCTTTTAATTTTTATGCATTGTATATTAATAAACTTGAGACATATGCTCGCTTGTATTTGTTTGTTAAGAGAGATTTTTTTCTTTGAATTTGGATTCGATTGTCGTGATCTTTAGGTTGTACTTTTCAAACAGAAGAATTTATGAATGTCAAGGATATTTTTATAAATTCAATAATCGACCGATCTTGAGTGTTACAAGTATGATGTAAACAAAATATGTAATGATTTGACTTGTAAAGAGTTGTGTGTAATTCAGACATATTGTAGTCCCCTATATATTTAATGTTAGATCATAATATATAAATCAATCATATATTAAGCAAACATTAAAAAGCGCCAAAAAATAGTAGACTATTAGCCCCCAACTCAATGCATATTGTGATGTTACACTTGCAGATTTATAGGTATAATATGTCCTACTATGACGTTTTATCAAACAGGCCCTTCTACTATTTTTTACATCAAACATGCCCCTGTAATTTGGAAAACTTATCAAACATGCCCTTTTGTTAAAAAATTTCCATCCAAAAATCGTTAACCAAGACCGAACTTTGGTTTGGGCGACCCAAATATCTAAAATATCTCTAATAATTTCACTTTAGAGTTTTTTTCTCTTCCGTATAGCCAAATAAATCTAATAATTTCACTTTGATGAGACCTAGAGAAATAAAGCAAGGGTCAAAACTGAAATTTCCCCTCCCATTTATCGATGTCAGGTCGTCTAAATCTCGGTTCAACCATAATTGACGATTTTTCCAATGAAAATTTTAACCGAAGGGCATGTTTGATAGTTTTTCCAAATTACAGGAGCATGTTTGATGTAAAAAATAATAGAAAGGCATGTTTGATAAAACGTCATAGTAGAAGGGCATATTATACCTATAACCCATTTATAAAAGATGAGACGCAAGAGATCAAACACATTAGCTAAAAAGAAATTGAATGCAAGTTGTGTGACCTTTAATGACCTTAAATTTAGACTAGAACTAGTCAAGAATGTGAAAGGTCGGGTCGATGAGAGTACACATGTCCATCCCGATGATCTATAAATCCGGTTTGAAATTTTTGCTATAACAAGCAGCAGGGTGAGTGTTGATGATTCCCAACCCCACTTCGAGTTCATGTTACTCCATACAGCATTGATGGCTTCATCACAGAAGCTAAGAAAACACAAATACAAACAAAAAAAGACACCAAAAAAGAAGGAAAAAAAAAAGAAGAAAAAAAAAACCAAACAAACAAACAAAGTAGCCATCTCTGCTTTTGTCTCCTAGATCTTTTGATTGACCCTGTCCCGGAAGCAGACAGCAAATCTCAAGTTGGCTTTGCTTTCCCCTCTCCCCTTTCTCCTCACTCTGCAATTTCCCTTTCCCTCTTCCAACTCAAGTACGTAAATTGTAAAAACTACAGCATTGTTACTCTTATTACATGTCTGCAAATCAGGATCGTTCTATGTAAAGACCAAGCTTCAAATGATGTTTCTACTCACTTCCCATTAGCATTTTTCTCAATCCAAAGAGTCTTCAGTATGATTTTTGAAACAATATATAATAGCACCAGATATCATATTCCTGAAAAATAATCACCCTATGATCTTTTGTATCCTACAGGGTTCTACCCAGGTTTAACTGATAATAAAAACAAATGGATTCAGGAACACCAGCCATTTCAATCGAAGAATGGGATGTGGGAAGAAAAAAGAATCAGTGCAGTACCATTATTTACATAGGGAGCAGGGGCTTTTCTATCCTCCTTTGAATTATAAAATGCTTGCAAAATTGGGCAGATCACCTTCAATTGTGGCTTTGCTGCTAACGGACTTCGGTTGAGCAAACCCCTAGGTAGAAGAATTCCTTCTTGCATTATACATTCGAAACGCGGCCATGCCAACAACTGCAAAAGCCGCCCCAACTGTATCCAGATAAACAATTTAAACAACAATATTAACATACACTAGATTGCGGAGGTAGTATAATTACAATTTGTTTCAAGCTCGTACCTGAGACGAAGAGTAGAGAGTTATTGACGAGGCGACGGAAGCTCTTGCGTTTCCTCCCTGTCTCTGTTTCAGGAATGTTGAGATGAGGAGATTCAGCTGCGCCAAGAATTCTCCCAAATAAGTCATTCAGATCTCCAGTCTTCATGCTCACCGCTACAGGAGCTTCTATTCCCAAATCTCGACAAACCTGACAGTAGATTTCACAATTATCGCCAATGGTGTTCGTTAATGTGAAACATAAAGTATTAAAAATTATTGAGATACATCTTAAGCATAACATTTGCAGAGGAAGAAAGAGTATACCTTCAGTGAATCTTGAAGTGCCATGGGGTATGGAACCAAATCACCCTTAGCAGCTACAAGGAGACAAGGCACCCCATAACCAGTTTCTTCTCCTTGCCTAGCTACTTCTACTAGCAGATCCCTTGTTCTTTTCCATGAATATTCATCCGAGCTGAAAATCATAAACATATTACAGGCTACTGTCACAATGGAGATTACAGATATTAATCATTATATAATAGTTACCCCTTGTGAAGAATAAGATATCCTGGGAAAAAAGGAACCTTTAGTAATCATATCTGGTGGTGTCATACTAACTGAAAAAGTTATAGAATCAAAGGAAAGGTGTTATCACAATTACTTGGAAGAATATAAACACACGACATGCATCTCCAAGGCTATATCTGTTACTGATGTTGGCAGGCAGCACATGTAATCTTTTTCATTGAACAATAATAAGCACACGCACATGTTACTTATATCGGCAGGCAGACAGCAAACGTTATTGAAACAGGTTGAAAGTGTTTCTGAACGCACCACATCCAATGAACTTACATGTCATAAACAAACACTGCAACATCACAAGCTGCCAGACATTCCTTATTTGATAGCAAAATTTTCACTCCATCTTCAGGTACCTCTCGCAAGATGAGAGTCTTCTTGTTACCCTGCAAGTATAGGTCAAAGGCAAAAGAAAAGTTGCACAGCTTAGTCGAACGGCTTGATGATAAGAAGTACTGTCCACTTCCGAACATCAGATATCATATTCTATGAAGCAAATGAATGTCGTGTTTCAGTTCCGCCATAACACCTACATGGACTAGTGTCTCAAAATTCACCAAGGTGATAAGAACCGGAAAACAAGAATAAAAGATACAAGATAGATCAATCAAACTCACCCCAAGCTGGTCAACAACATCCGCTGCATATCTCTCACCCGCTGGATTGTGACTTGCTGAAAACGGTCTGTCAATGTCACACGAAAGAATGTAATCATAATCATTTACAGACCAAAAAAGTAATCCCCAACAATTCTGTGTCCAAAGCAAAGATCGGTTTCCATGAGAATAAATTAGAGAACATTATGTTCGCACTACCTTCCCAGCAAAGCATTCAACATTGAAGATTTTCCAGCATTCTCTGGACCAAAGACCAAACAGTTGTAAACACTTCTTTCACTGCGTTGCTTCTTACGGTCAACAGATTTTCGTCTAGTAACTCGAAGAACTGAAGCTGGATTCCCATTGTATCCAATATATATTAAATTAGCCAAACTGCGCCTTGGATCCATCAGTGTCATAAGGGCCCACTGGAAACAAAAAATTCAGTTGTTAATCCCAATAAGAGGAAAACACAACATGAGAAAAAGTACATATAAACACCTCTGATAAGAATCCCTTCAGAGTCAAATTTCCTTGGGAAGTTGTTTCTGCTGCATCTTTAAATGGAGCCTCATTCCAAGGACTACATATAAGAAATACATAGAACAGCATAAGCATAAAGAAACTCTAGCTTGGAATCAGGAGAAGCCCAACCAATCTCATTTGAGGGTTGACGAACTGATAGTCATCAGCACTGGGTCGTTTGGATGGATCAATCTAAAAATGAGTCAATTTGATCAATTGTCTCGTTTATAAACGAGGCAATTAAAACGAGTCAATTTGAATTACCTGCCCCCACCCCAGGTAATTGAAATTGACTCAAAACGGATCAATTCAAAATACCTCAGGCAGATTGATCCATCCAATTTTTTTGCTGGCAAACGAGGCAATTTGGTACAATTGTCTCAAAACGAGACAATTGTGTCAAATTGATCCGTTACAATTCCTCATCCATAACATGCAGTAGCGAACATGAAAAAGTAGGAAAGGACAGACTGTTGTTGTCATCCGCTCACTCTATGATATCTTCAGCTAATGGTTAATATTTTGCATAAACACAATATCATGAATTCATATGGGCAGAAAGGTTGCCAGCAGTTACTAAAATAATTTCTTCGAATTAGTAGCCAACTAAAGTTTTCATACACAATGATGGCCAATATCAGACAAGAGAAAACACAATTAAGAGGTGGTATTTAGCAGAAAATGATCATCTAAGTCTAACATAAGGATGTATGACATTGGAATTAGAGCAGAGGCAAGTATGACATGTGATACCTTTCAGGAGCAGTTGAGAATAGCTCATCAAGCTCAGTTGGCCGCAAAGCTCCATGCTTGTCAATTCAAAAAGAAAAAAAATCAGTACTTAGTGTCAACCAGCCAGAACTCTATAAGTGGATTATAGCGAAAACAGTAATATATTACGTTGTCAGTATCAAACAAGCGGAAGGTCCCACGTAGAAAGTCAAGTGCCTCCGTTTTTAACTCAATGCTCTGCAAGTACCAATACAAGTTAAAATATGGCCATAAGTAAAAGGTCTCCAACACAGAGAATGCAGCAGGGGATAAATGCAAAATATACAAGGTCAAAGTAGTCTCCTCAGACAAAAATATTCACCAACCAAGAATAATTTTAAGCTTGCAGCCACTGAAACAGGAAAATCCAGCATTGAATGGCAAGAAAAAGTGGGCAAACGTGCAGAACATTGGTTCATATAAATGGAAGTAAACGTTAGAGCAATAAAAAGCCAGTACATATGAAGCACACAAGTCAAAAATTCAGTTTTTCAGTACAGGGCTCACCTGATCAGAAGCATGCTTAGTTGGAACTGGGAGGCCATCATCTCGGAGTTCTAGATTATCACCATAGCCAAACCTTCTCAAGACAGCCCAGGTTGTTTCGTGACGGCCTTTATCTATGAAAAGAAAATGTAGATATAAGAAGCCTTCGAGGGTAAGACCCAGGTCATTAACTCCATCCCTCTTCTTTTCTTGTACAACTCTCCGCACCCCCACTATTTCAGCAGGCTGGAGTGGGGCATTGAAACATTTAACCTGTTTAAATATAATTAATGTCAGACTTCTCAAAGCATTCATGGGGAGATTTTTTTTTTTTTTTTAAGATGGAGACTAGAGAGAATGAAACCTGAAATTCATTTAATTCTGAATCATTGAGTGCGCCATCCATGTCACGGTCACATAGAAGAAATATCCTTTTAAGTGCCCTCTGACATCGAGGTTGCAAAGATTGAGTTTCTTGATCAAACAATGGAGCTGTTGGGTGAAGTACAGCTTTTTGTGCATAATAGAAAACATCTGGAACCTACAAAATACCCAGGTTGATGGTTGAGTCCTAATATAATAGTAGGACAAATTCTATATATTGGAAGACATAAACTATCACTATGATACACAATGAAATACTAAATTTTTCTTCAACACAAATTGGAAACCGAAAATGGTAATAGAGTTTTGCAATTAGCGAGATCCTAAGCGCCATTGAATTGAAAGGAAGCTACTATGAAGGACTAACTCATACTCGCTAGTCAATTCTTTCTTAATTCCGCACATCCTCTCTGCAAACAATCGCGTCCCTCCCCGCATAGTTACCTTTTGTAACAATATATCGGTCATCAATGCATCAAGTAGAACTTGGGAGCACAAATAGTGATGCAATTGCATGAATTCTATATGTCTTTTTACCAGCAATACAAATAATGCATTAATGCAGGGTGCAAGGACCACACATTTCTGCAAATATCGAAGCTTTAGAAGTCAAACTAAACATTAATAACAAACTCTGTTGCCTTACTTGCATAAGGGTAACCGAAGAGCACTCTATGCAGGTCTCAATCTCCCTGTACTCATGCATAACCGGTCTCATGACATGTTCCAGGCTAATTGACTGGTTCTCATCTCGCAAATCGAGCTTGCAACCAACTACGATAATTGGTACTTTCACCTGAGTCAAGCAAGTTCTATCTATCAGCACACAAAAAAGAGCATTTCTTCATTATGAATCAACAATAGAAAACACAACCATTATCGCATAAGACCTCTAATCGGCGAAGCTCCTCGAGCCAAAAGCTACTTAGACGATTCAATGTCAATGGTTGATCACAAGCGTAAGTTAACACCACCACATCAGCTCGCTTTAGCTCGTCAATTAGCTTCCCTCTATTCTCCAAGCTAATACAAGGACAGCCACAATAACGCCAATGTCATAATAACAATTAACAAGAGACAGCAATTAAGAAGATGAACGATATTGAGGGTAGAAGCACTCAGTTGGAAACTTCGGCCAAAAAGTGTAAGCGAAAAGCGGTCTCTTTCAGGTCTCAATGATCTGGGAATTTCATTATCTGCGACGGCGAAGCTACGAGGTGGGGAAAGAGCTTACGCTGCAGAAGTATCGATTATGGTGATGGGGACTCGATCGGGGAAGAAATCGGCGGGGAGATGAGTGGGAGGAAGAACGTGAGTGACGTTTTCAGGGTATGACTCCGTCGCCGCCGCTGCAATCAAGCTCGATTTACCAGTGAAACGGTCTCCGGCGACCACGACCCTAACGCCGGTCCTGCCACCGGTGGCAGAGTTCTCGCCTGCCATGTCAGACGAAGCTGCGGACGAAGAACCAGAGAGATTCCACTTTTTCCAACGAATCAGGACCTCGGCTGAAGAAATTTTCGTTTTTGTCCCGTCGCTGTTGGATTGTTTGCCTGCGGCTGCGACTTGCCCCGCAGCTCAGCTGCCGGAAGCGTGGTATGGGCCGATAGTCCAGGCTAGTCTGCCCAGCCAAGTGTCTAACATTGGGCCAGAGAACCCAGCCCATAATTTCCCCAGATTATAGAGTTTAATACTCCAACAATTGATTAATTCTTAGGTCATCTCCAAAGATAGTCAAAAAATTCAGAAATTCTAAAATATCTCCTCTCATCATGACTAAAAAAGCTAAAAGGTCCCAAAAAATAATAAATTGGGCCAAATTTGACTAAAATAGAACAAAGATGAAAAAACACATCAAATATTCGTGGGTGTCACTATTTATTAGTCTAACTTTTTTTCAGATTCTTTTTGATTAGCCTAACATATCCAAATACTAAAAATTAGCCAATGTTGGCTTCTAGTTTTCAATTTTATTGACTATATGATACTGATTTGGAAGAGACACATGAATGTCAACATTTTAAAATTTTGGTATTTTAACTAAGAAAATAGTTACAAAATTATTAACGATAACGTAAAAATGGCTAATATTTTGATACATTACGAAAGATTTGGCTAATTAATAGCATTTTAATATATTTGGATAATATAAAAGAATCTGAAAAACGTTTGGATAAAAATAGATACTACCCAATATTCAGCTCCCTTTAACGAAGAGAAGCGCGGAGACCCGCCCCAATGCAGCACTCCACTCCCCATCCGCCACATGCAATTAGTCCGTCCTAGCCCCCACTTAAAGTCCACTTATTATTAATAATAATAATAAATAATAGTGAAAATATTGAAAACAATCTCAAAGTACACATGCTATTAAAAAAATCCCAAAATACATGCGCTATAAAAAAAATTCCCAAACTACACATGTTTCACCTTCACCGCCATTGTTAAAGACAATGATGAAATTTATTGCGTTCCTTTAAAGCAGTGATGTGTTCACCGCTTTTCTTTGCAACAGTGAAAAGATCATCATTTTAGTGAAACACAGTGTTGAAATTTCAATCATCACCGCAGTACACTAAAATAGTGAAGCTCTCACCGTATCTAACGGCCACGGTGAAGGGGTGGGGGGGGGGGGGGGGGGGACACAGACCGTTGACGTGGACCACAGTGCATGCACTGTCATTCACAAACGCGGTGAATGGATTGTGGTCCACGTCAGCAGTCTACGCCGCCCGACCCCTTCGCCGCTGCCGTTGGATGCAGTGAGGTGCGGATTCTGGTTTTCCTCACAGATCCGACGCCTAACAGCGTCCCACGTCAGCGATCCACACCTTTCACCGTTTCCGAGAATTGCGGGGTCTCACTGAAGTTGACTGCTACGGTGATCAACCTGTGGCTCTTTCCAGCGGATCCAGCTCCTATAATACTATCCCTCTCCCTCCCTCCCTCCTTCCCATTCCAAACCACACCACCACACAATTTTTCTTTCTCCCTCCATTCCTCCACTCTAGTTTCGTTCTAAAAAGTATGCTCTGTGGTTGCGTCTAGGGGTGGAAATCGGTACGGTATCGGTATCCCAATTACGAATACCGAATTATATCCGAAAGTCAATCTCAATCCCAATCCCTAAATAATTTTGGTATCCCAATCCCTAAATATTATGGTATCCCAATCGGTACTTCAGTATCCCAATCAGTATTATCGAATACGAAATTAATTATATTTGAAATAAATAATTAAATATATAAACTAGATTTATTTGTTTAATTTAGGGCAAAGAGACTAGCCAAAGAGTCTTGAGTTTTCCTAGAGCTAGGATATGGATAAGGAGAATGAAGGAGAGGTGACATCTCAAGTTCTTGTCATTGGTAATCTTTAATTTGACGAATTGAAAGCCGAGAGCCGACTAATGCTAGTGTTTGCTTTTTGGTGTTATGAAAATTACAAGTTATTAGGTGAGAGATGAGAGTGACTTAAATTGGAAAGTCAAAATTGAGTTGGATGTGGACTTTTGAGTTGTGAAACAAAGATGAAATGATCTATGTATAATTAAATGACACTCTTGGTGGTTGGGGGTTGTGTAGTAGTGAATGAGAGAGTCTAGTTGAGAGGATAAAATACACACTAGCTTATATTTCGGTATTGATCGGTATTTTGGTATATACCGATCCCAATCCCGTAATCCCTAATACCGAATTACAATTAAAATTCAATCTCAATCCCAAGAAATAATACGTGTATTCGGTAATATCGATTATAGACAAATTTGGTACGGTATTCGGTATATCCCAAATACCGGTACCAAACTTCCAGCCCTAGTTGCGGCTAAGCTGGATCTTCCACATCAGAAAGAATCCCTAGAGTTATTTCCTACAACCCTCCTCTCTAAAAACTCGTTGAACCTCTGCCTGGCTTCTGCCAAAAAATGGACGAAGAGGCTTTGAGGGTATGTACGTACTTGTTTTTCCTTTTGTGATTTATTTTTTCATAATCGAAATAATTTGATTTCATTCAAAAAAAAAATTTATTGCCGAGATATACGATCCTGGGCCAAGGGATGCGTAGTATTTATCCGAACAAGCAACACATCGCTCTCATGCAATTTTGCATAACAATCCGGTAAATACCCCATACCATATTAATTTGTTAATTATTTAAGTAATTTAAAAGGTTTTATTTTGCTTTCCTTTGACTAACAACTTGGTGTTTTTTACATTTTTACTGTAGGAATAACTTATTCCCGTCACCCATAGAGGGACAACACACTTCCCCGCTTGGCATGATCGACTATCGCTGTATCTAGAGAGGACGGGTTTGGATATGGTGCGACACTTCATGCGGATTGAGATCGACAATGACCTGTTGGCGACAATGACAGAGCGATGGCGCCCAGAAACAAATACATTCCACCTTCCCGAAGGGGAAATGACAATCACCATCAGAGACTTGCCATCCTCACCGGGCTTCCGGTCACTAGAGAGGCCATCATCGGATACTCGAGAAAACCCGAAGAAGGCCGAGGGTCGCTGATTCTCGATCGTTTTGGCTTCGACATGCCGACCCAGACCGAAGTCCAAGAACTTAGACATCCACAGCTGAATGCGGGACAAATATCAATCTCGTGGCTCGTTATTCACATATAAAATGAGGTTCTAGTCGGCCCAAACACCCCAAAGATCAAATGGAGCGGTATGCACGTGTCAACCTCATTGGCTTGGTTGGTGGATTTCTGTTCCCCGACAAGGAAAACAGGTGGATACATGGTATGTAGTTGTCGTTGCTCCTCGGTGATTGGGACAACGATGGAAAAAAGAGTTGGGATCGGCCGTGTTAGTTGGGGTATATAGGGAGCTGTGTACTTGCTCGAAGGTGGGAGCGAAATAAGTTGGTGGTGCGATCCTCCAGTTCTGGACATGGGAGCATCTTCCATTGTCAACACTTCAAGACTCGTGTGAATGTTGGGCGCAAGATGAGGAGCTATGAGATGTAGAAAATGCCACCTATGATGTCAAGTAATTTTAATTTAATTTCAATTTTGTAATTAATTTACATTTATTTACTTAGATTGATTATAAGGTTAAATTTATTACATGCTTAGTATGCATTTTATATAACATGGGTAGATTGATTGAATTCTAAAATGTATTGCATGCTTAGTTTCTTTAATCCAGAATAATATCATTACGATTTATGAGGTAACAGAGATTAGATAGTTAATAAATTCTTAGATGCTTAGCCTCCATGCTTTAAAAATTCTTATATGCGTGCTTTTACTTACAAAGTGGATCAGAGCTAATACAAACGACCACCAATTTGAGCACCCTTTACTGATTTATCGTGCTGAGTTTGATAAGTCTTGGTGGAACCACGTAAACATGTATTTCTCAATATTTTAACTTTTTAAAATAGAGTGGATTATATTTGGTACTAAACTACTAATTGCAAATTATTAATGAGTCTAGGTTACATGGGACCCATGTCCACATGAAGTGGTTGAGCTGCATCGTCTTAGACACCCAGAGGATTAGGAGAAGTGGTTGTGCAAGGTGCCATTGATTTATTGGCACATCGGAGAGTGACACCTGCCCTATCGATCCTTGAGGCAATGTCGATTGGAGCATCCAATTCCAGCGAAGATGATGTCTCTACTAAACAAAGCTTACAAACATTTCAAAAGAAAGCGACAAACAATACGAAACATGCTAACTATACAGAATATCATTACTTATAATACAAATCGGTAAACTTGTATTACAAACCAATAAATACAAAATATACAAATCATAACATAAAGTATACAAACTAGACAAACAAAATTATGAATTACAATGTGTACAAATTAACCCTATAAGAATTATAAACCGACAAACATTTCAAACCGGACTTACAAACATTTCAAAGTAGACCGACAAACATTACAAATCCAATATTGTCGCCGCCGGTGGCTGCAAAAATCTGTTGTCGCTGATAGCCGGGGAATCATCTCTCTGGGTAAAATTTCCATAAAAGGTGGTCGCCAGCGGGGTGGGGAAATTATTCCCAACGGGATGACCAAAATAAACCCACGTCATATCGCTGGAAGGGAAATTTCCCCGACGGGGTCTCTTATTTCTTGCGGAAGAGAGGAGTTAGTGGTCGGCTCAGATTTTTTTATTTTTTATTTACTTTTTATTTTAATTAATAAGTTAAATAATCATGCAATTGCTACATTGTCCTTCATCAAATTAGATTAATTGTAGCTATTGGATATTAATGAGATGAAAGGACTGAGATTTACTTAGTCATGTGACTAAGCCCCCTAGTCACCTGGTTTATCCCACTTACACCATATATGACCGCCATTATCACCATCCCCGCCACCACCACTAACCCACTCTAGGATAAGATCAAGTGAGTAAGGGGGTGGGATACCGTCACAACCCAGTTTGTAACCATTGGATCTGTTCTCTCTGTCTTGTCTCTTTCTTTTTATTTTCAAATTGATGATTAAGATTAAATGAATGCTATTTTTGGAAGTGAGAAAATTTACCACACACAACCATACTCCCTTCTATATAAATAAAAAATCCCAACTCCTCCCCCTCTCCTGCAGACGACACCTCTCTCCACCCCCCTTCGTCGCCTGCCACTCCCTTGACCGCCGTGACAACCACCGTCGACCCCCTCCCTCTGCCTCCCTCCACCCATGTAATGCGCCTCTACCGCCGCCATCTTTCCTCTCGTGCCACATCGCTCCTCCGCCTCCCTCCACCACGTCCCGCGAACCTCTTCCAACTCCCTTCACCCCCTGTCGCGCCTTTCGCCGCTCTCATCCACTGACGCCGTCGTCGGCTCATTTGCTCGATCGCGCTCTTTCGGTGTGAGTCCTCTTCCACTATACTCCTCCTCTACTCCCTTTGTTTTTCATATCTGTGATTTTTGGGTTTTCAGATCTGGTTTGTATCCAGTGGTATTGATTTTCTTCTGGTATTGGTACTAGATAGAGTGGTACGCTACATTACCATCTTGTAGATGGTGTGGTACGCTACCACTACCAGGTGCCAAATGGCAGTGGTACCAAATGATGGTGGTACTCTACCACTACTAGCTACCAGATTGTAGTGATAGCGCTGTACTGGTAGTGATACAGTGGTAGCGGTAGCGTACCACTAGCGCACTGACGGAGCAGTAATATTTTGCAGGTGGTCGGAGCAAGTTTTATTCAAAGATTTCGTCGGAAAAAGCCTGTCGGTCGGAAAGTCAGCCAACCGGAGTGGTGTGGCTACTGGAAAAGGAAGAGAGAGATAGGAAGAGAGAGAGAGAGAGTTGTAGAGTTATTGTAGGATTTAAATTTATTAAAAAAATATGTATTTAATATGGATTTTTAATCCCAATTTGTAATTAATACAAAAAAATTAATTAATTCGTTCATTTTTTTGTCATACTCAAAATGCCCTTGGTTGTGAATCTCACAATCCCATTAGGAGAAGTGACCATATCCCGCCCCGTGAGTAAGGGGGTCCCTTAGTCACATGACTAAGTCTAAGCCAATATCAGCCATTCATTTAAGTTTTAATCTAATGATTGTGATTAATCTCATTTAATGAAGGGCATGATAGTAAATACACAATTTATTTATTTAGCAATTAAAATAAACAAAATAATATGGTCCCACAGCTACCTCGGTTGTCGCTCCCACCAGGCATTTCTGAGAAATTCCTCCCGACGGCTTGCCCTCCCCAAGTTATTCCCAGCATCGGCGATCCGCCGGTCCCCCATTCCCAGCGCCGGCGGGCTATTTTTCCATTCCAAGTAGGCGGTCACTTTTATGAGAGAGGGATAGAGAGAGTTCTGGTGTCGCCGAGAATTTTCCGACGAATGGTGGATTTTCCTACGGCGGCAGCAGTTTTGTGATGTTTATCGTTTTGTAATATTTGTAAGTCTGGTTTGTAATGTTTATATCAATTCGATTTGTATTTTTTATCATTTTTGTCTATTATATTTGTAATGTTTATATGATTATTTTGTATATATTCTAATTTGTAATGTTTGTTTGTCTAGTTTGTATACTTTTATGTTATGATTTGTATACTTTGTATTCATTGGTTTGTAATACAAGTTCACTGATTTTTATTGTAAATCGTGGTCTTTTGTACGGTTAGTATGTTTTGTATTGTTTATCAGTTTCTTTTGTAATGTTTGTAAGCCTTGTTATTTTTGTCTATCATGTTTGTCATTCTTGTCCACCATGCTTGTAATGTTTTTATGTCTAAACAATAATCAGGTTGACTTTTGAACGGAAGTCCTCTGTATAGAGATTGAGTCTCCAAAGTCAACCCGACAGTTTTTCCATTTTGTATGGTTTGTTGGTCTAGTTTGTAATTTTTGTTCAACATGTTTGTAATGTTGGTATGTTTAAAAAACAACTGGGTTGAATTCGGGACGGTGCCACTCTATATAGGGATGGAGTCTCAAAGTCAACCTGGTTATTTTCCATATTTTATGGTTTGTATTGTTTGTCAGTCTACTTTGTATTGTTCGTATATTTTGTATTGTTTATAAATTTGTTTGTATATTTTGTCGTTCTAGTTTGTATTGTTTGTAAGTCTGTTTGTATATTTCGTAATTTTTCATAATACCCAAACTACTACTGTCATTAATTAAAATTTTCTTTTCACTTTTTAACCGTTAGATTGATGTCTCCAAATCTAAGGACTAGGAGGGGCTTACTCAAGTGACTAAGGTCCCCCCCTAGGGCTGCAAATGAGTCGAGCTGAGCCGAGTTTTACCTCAGCTTGAGTTTGACTCGTTAACAAATGAGCTAAGCTCAAGCCGAGTCGAGTTCGAGTTAGGCTTGTTTACTAATTTCTTAGATCGTATTTGATACATTCATTTTGTATGTCGTGTATGGTACATGTGATTGATGTAACGATTAAAAAATAATCAAATGTTCAACATTAATTAATCTTATATTATAATTTGTAGGTGTCATATTGTTTAGTTAATAAATTTTAACTAGTTCAAATCAAGTTATTTCATAGTATCGAAACAATTTTGTACATAATTTCTTTATAGAATTAAAAATAAAGCATATTTTCTTACATGTTCAACATGTTAAACTTCACATGATGTGAGATTTATAATTTAACAATCCTATGAATTATGAAAGTCCAAATTAGATCGATTCATCCATAAGTCGGTGATCAAGTTGGCCCTCAAACCACAATGTTGAGACATCTCATGAGCTCTAAATGAGCCAACTCACGAGTTGATCTCAACAAGCCACCGAGTTGAGCTAGCTCGCGAGCTGAACCAGGCGAAGCTCAAGCTTGGCTCGTTAGTAAACGAGTCGAGTTTCGAACGAGTTTTTCCCGATTCGAGCCACGAGTTGCTCTCGAGTAGCTCGGCTCATTTACAACCCTAATCCCTCCTAGTCACCTGATCCGCACTCACCCACTCCCCCCCTCTCAACTTCCCCAGTTCCCCATCCTCCCTTCTAGATCCTTGCAAGTCGTACGATGGCGATGAAGGAGGGACTCATTCTTTCTGTCTGGTTAGGTCGTTAGGGAGAGAAGGAAAGAGCCGGTTTCGATATGGAGGGCGGATCGAGGTGGGTAGCAGCGTCGAAGATGGAGGCCTGAGAGCACGGTGAGTTGGCAGAGATATTTTAGTGTATGAAAGCAGAATTGAGAGGAGTCGGAGGAGGAATTGGCGATGATAAACAGACGGAGGCAGTGAGGAGTCGGCAAAGGAGAGAGTTCCGACAATGATTATTTTTAACTTATGTTTTTCAATTTTCCTTAGGAGACCAAAGTTGTGGAGATGATAGGGGTAAGATGGGTGGCTACGGTGGTGGGATTTGCGAGCCGATAGGCGGCTGCGAAAAATTATCAGGGGCCAAAGGAGTTTATGGTTTTTTGCTTTATCCGATTATTTTGCAGTGAGCTACTATGCTATAAAGTATTGGTGTTTTAATGTACAATTTGAAGTTGTACCATAAAGATAAATATATAAGTTCAAGTTGTACCAGAAAGGAATTTGTATCATTATGTTATGGTACAACTTAACAACTTAAAAGTTGTACTGTTACATAAAGGTACAAAATCAAGTTGTACCATAAAAGAATTTGTATAAAAGATTATAGGTACAACTTGAAGTTGTACCATAACGTTAAAAGTACAACTTCAAGTTGTACCTAAAGGCAAAAAACTATAACACTAATGCTATATAGCATTGTAAAATTCCTCTTTTGCAACAGGGATAGATAAAAATGACCCAGACTCACCAATTTTATAAACGATGAAATGTGATTTAACATGTTTTAGACCGGTCAATGTTGAGTTGGCAAGTAAATATTTTATTTATTAAAGTTGTTAGTCAATGGGATGAAAAATTGAACAGAAGCACAATTTAAAAACCTAAGTAGCACCCGACGTCTTATTCAAACTTAAGTGATACAGTTCTCACAATTTTCAAATTTAAGTGATACTCGAGGTATTTTACGCCATTTGAGCATCTCTAGATAGTGATTCGACGATCAGTCCAATGCCAGCGATGAATCATTTATAATGCTCCCGAAAGGCCAGTAGTTCCATTATATAATTTTTCGTCTTCAACTATCTTTACAGTTACTAGCACAGGACCCGGCCCATTGGCCGGGAGAATTTTGTCAAAAAATATTGTATATAATAATGAATATAATAGATGATTTAAAA